CGCTTACTGCAGCAGTTGAGGCAATAAATATGAAAGAACTTACATGAAATAAATGGTGATGGCAATGCTTTGGAAAATTTAAATTTAGGAGTAAAACGGAAATTAGATTGCTAGAACTTGAGCAGAAATATTAAAATGTAGTATTCAGGTGACAGGAAATAGTATCAATCTGTTTCAATTTCTCCCCAAGTAAGGATGATTTCCCTTTCTATGTCAGGTTTTACTTAAGTTGTCTTTTTTTAAAATTGAGATATAGCAAGTATAAAATTTATCTTTTTATAGTGTAAAATTCGGTGACTTTTAGTATAGTCACTCTGGTTTAAAACTGTCACTACTAATTCCAGAACATTTTTTACACCTGAGAAATAGTATCCTTGCTCATTAGCAGTCACACGCCTTTTTTTCCCCCTGGAAACCGCTAACATGCTACTGTTTTTATAGATTTACCTATTCTGGCTATTTCATATACATGGAATCATGTAGTGTGTGGTCTTTTGTGACTGTATTTCTTAACTTAAACAACTATTTTCTCTGTTCACCCATGTTGTATAGTGACAGTACTTCTTTACTTTTGCATGGATAAGGAATATTTCATTGCACAGATATAATGTATTTTATTTATTCATTCACCCATTGATGGCCATTTGGTTAATCATGAATAGTGCTGCTGCTAACATTTGCATACATTTTTCTGTGAGGATATGTCTTCAGTTCTCTTGGGTATATTCTAGAAGTGTTATTTCTGGGTTATATGATAATTCTATGCTTAATTATTTGAGATATTGCCAGACTGCTTTTCAAAGTGACTGTACGATTTTACATTCCCACAAGCAGTGTATGAGGATTCCAGTTTTTTCACGTCCTTACCAACACTTGCTGTTACCTGAAATTTTGAATATAGGCATGTCGGCAGTTGTGAGGTGATATCTCATAATGTTTTTGTCTTGCATTTACTTGATAACTTGGGAGGTCAGTCATCTCTTCATTTGTTCATTGGTCATTTGTATCTCTGCTTTGGAGAAATATCTTTTGGATTTTTGCCCTTCTTGTAGCTTGTATATTCAACTTCTTATTATTGAGTTTTAAGGATTTTGTATTTATTTTAGATACATGACTTTTATCAGATATATGATATGCAAATATTTTCTTTTATTCTGAAGGTTCATTTTTTAACTTTCTTGATGGTGTCTTTGAAGCCAGAAGTTGTTTTTTTTTAAATTTTAATTAGGTCCAATTAATCTATGTTTTCTTTTTTGCTCATGCTTTCACTGTCATATCTAAGGATACTTGCCAAATCCAAGGTCACAAAAATCTCCCTTTTATGTTTTCTTCTAAAAGTGTGATGAGTTTTGTCCTTTGCTTTGTATATTGATCTTGATTATTATATATTGATTTGAAACCTTGCTGAACTGATTTATTAGTTCTAATAGTTTTTTTTTGTTTGTTTATTTTGACGTGGATAAGTGGATTCCTTAGGATTTTCTATATATTAGAGCATGTCATCTGTGAGTAGAGATAATTTTACTTATTTCTTTCCATTCTGGGTTTCCTTTTATTTGAGCTGTGGGTTTTTTATAGATGTCCTTTATCAGGTTACGGGAGTTATATTCTACACTAGCTTGCTGTCTTTTTCATTTGAAGAATATTTTTGCCAGATATAGAATTCTTGTTTCACAATGCTTTTCTTTAATAATTTTGAATATGTCATTCCACTGCCATCTTACCTACATGGTTTCTGATAAACTATAAGCTATAAATCTTATTCAGAATTCCTTACACATACGGTCAATTGTCTTCTAAGGCTTTCAAGATTTTCTCTTTGTCTTAGGTTTTCAACATTTTCATTATTACAATGTGTATCCCTGAGTGTATTGGGGAATTTGTTGAGCTTTTTGAAATTGTAGAATAATTTTCTAAAAAGTCAAATTTTGGAAACTTTCTGCCATTATTTCTTAAAATATTATTTCTGCACCTTTGTCTCTTTCTCTCTTTGTAGGACTCCTATCACAAATATGTCAGTACTATTGGTGGTGTCCCACATGTCTCTGAGGCTCTGTCCTTTTTTTTTTTCTTACAGCTCTTCAGACTGGGTAATCTAAATTGGAAAAAGGATCTTCCTTTTTTCCAATTCTTTTTGATTGCTAAAATCTGCCTTTGAGACCCTGCAGAGATTTTTTTTTTCATTTCAGTTATTTTACTGTTCAACACCTGAATTTCTGTTTAATTCCTTTCTGTAAATTCTCTTTGTTAATATTTTATATTTGGTGTGATATTTTTCTCCTACATTCCTTTAGCTCTGTGAACATATTTAAAGTAGCTATCTTTAAGTGACTTTGGGTATAAGTCTGTGCTCTAACCAACTGAGCCAACAGGCCAGCCATGAAGCCTAAATCCTTCTCCTTTGTCTTGATACTTTTCTACAAATTTATTGTTCTTTTGTTAAAATAACATTTAAGCCTAAGTTCTAGCTACCCCTTCAAGTTATTAAATATCACTGAATTTGTCCCATATACATGCACACTGCTTATGTTAATGACCTTTTGTTTGTTTTTGTCTTGTTAGTCTGTCTTTCATCAGTCTAATTTTCAGGACCCTAACTGGAGAGCTTAGGAGGGCAGGATATACTGTTTCTGTTTTACTCTTGTATTCTTCTTCCTAATCCTCCTTGTAGAAGCAAAATTGGAGTATGAGACATTCAATCTGCTTATGTACCAGGACAATCATTCACTAATTATGAGGTGTTGAAGGAGCCATTAATTAATAATAATTGAGAAGTGCTGAACTACTGGGTATAAAACAAAATGAGTCATTGTACAGCATTTGTAGTGTACTGAAACAACACGTTATAACCCACAAACAAGTACCAGTAAATGTTAAAATAAAAAAAAATACTAGTAGTAAGTGAAACCACAATACAAAAAAGCTGTCATTTGTAGAGCATTTACTTATATGACAAGTACTATTATATGATATATATATATATATATATATATCTGTCTCTATATCTACATATATATTTTACATCATCATTAAGGGTAAGGTACTATTATTGTTTCCCTTTCACAGGTGAAAAACTTGAGACATAGAAATGCTAAGTCACTTGCCCAGAGTCACACAGTTGGTAAATGGAGTCAGAATATTAACAAAGATCTAGAGTGCAAACCTGACCACTACTCCTTATAGTTTTCTCTTCCACATGATAAGAATGCTAAGAACTGCTTTCTCTAATTTTTATTATCATTGTCTTGAGGATATGGAGAGCAAGTTGAAATAAAAAAGAGGAAAATGAACTCAACATTCACCTACCGCTGACTATACAATAGCTGTATAATGTTATATCATTCTGATCTTCTTTGCAGATGAGTAGAAAATTAAGCTCATTGATGTTGTGTAAACTGGTGAGCTCACTGAGCAAGTCAGGAGTACATCTAGGTGTAAAATCCACATCTGCTCGCATTTAGTAGAGTTCCCCTCTACAGGATGCTGGCTCACAGGTCTGAGGAGAACTTCCTTACTTAAGGGTGAATGCAGAGCATAAAAGTGATGTCAAAGTTGATTAAATGAGAATTTATGAGAATTTATACACATACACACACATATTTCATATCTGCTGTTAGTATGTACTCATGTATTGGGGCAATGGGAATAAAAAGCCTTACAAAAAAACCTTTTTTCTCTGAAAATACACAGTCTAGGCCAGGAGTGAAGGCACACAGACGAGAAGATCTCTACTAAAAACAAGAAGGAATAAGATCATGATTCAACAGAATAGTGATTTAGATGAAAAGTGCTTCCAAAACACAAAAAATGGGTCTTTCACTGTGGGCTGAATATGGGAATGGTCAGACTGAGAGGTGAACTACATTGTCAAGGATCAATTTGTCTTGGGCTAAAATCCAGGCTGAGTCACTTTTCTCCTAGCTTTCTCAGAGAAAATCAAGCTAGGATAATTCCTAGTTGATGATTTATTTATTTATTTATTTATTTATTTTCCTTTTTGTCTTTTTTTATGACCGGCAACAGATCGCAACCCTCAGTGTCATGCCCGGACCGGACCGGGACCGGCAACGGGATCGCAACCCTCGGTGTTGCGCCCGCACCTTGCTCAGCCAGTGAGCTGCCGGTCTGTATGTGTGATCCGAACCCTGGGCAGGAGCGCCGCTGTGCTCCCAAGCGGCGCACTGTAGCAGTGCGCCCCTGGGCCGGCCCCCTAGTTGATGATTTAAAATTAAGGATTATGAATAATAGTTAATAATGATTACTGAGCAAATTATTAAACTACATATGGATGTTTATGTATTTTTAACCATTCATGAAAGAACATGTAAATCCATAGCTATTAGATATAAATAGGTATTTTGATTTCTAATTCTAATGATGAATATAATTTTGAAATACTCATACAAAGCATATGTGGATGAAAAAGAGTACTCAGTCTCTATGCAACTATCAACATTTTCAGGAAACCTCTGTACAGACTTATTTGGTGAAAGTGTTTTTTTAAATTATATGTTCATATTTAAACTGATAAATGAGTGTGTTCACTTACATAAGCAGCTGTGTGTTGGTATCTCTGAACTTGGGTATACAAACAAATGTGATCATGGATTTGAGCAACTGGTAAGAAAAACATATAACATCCCACGGGACTTTAAATCGGAGACATGGCAGTTCTCAGGGGTTCCATTATGAGAAAGATGTTGAACTGGCAAATAAATGTCAACACAATATACACAGAGAGTTATCATATCTCTTCTAAATAGTTAGTGCTTCTTGAGGTGATGGGGGTTCTGACCACACTTGAATAATAGGTAGAAGAGAATGGGGTGAATGTTACTACAGAATTGAGGAGGGTTTGAGTAGACGGCATATTTAGGTAAATTGAAACATGGATGAGAATAACATGGCGATAAGTAGAAGATGTAGTGATGAGGATGGGGTGAACATAGGACACTTGTTATGTGTCAAAAAGTGTTAAGTTGAGGCCAAGCTGGGAGCATTTATTTAGATTCTTTGGGAAAATTTGAAAACATCTGCTTTGCTCCTTCCAAAATTTGCTTGGTCCTCACTCCATAAATAATGGGATTGAGCATAGGCGGGATGACCACATAGAGGTTGGCCAGGAGGATATGGACATAGCGTGGGATACGTCTCCCACCAAACCTGTAGGCAAAGACAGAAAAGAGGGCAGGGATATAGAAGAGAAGGATGACAAAGACATGGGATCCACAAGTGCCCAGGGCCTTGGACCGAGCATCTTGAGAAGGGAGGTGAAAGACAGCTCGGAGGATGTGGACATAGGAAACAGAAATAAGGATGATGTCCAGGCCTGTGGAGAGAAGAGCTGCTGCCAACCCATACCAGACATTGATGGAGATATCAGAACAGGATAGACGGGCGATGCCCATGTGCTCACAAAATGTGTGCGCGATGATGTTGGTCCGGCAGTAGTGCAGGCGCTTAAGGAGAAAGACAGATGGAAACATGATGGTGAAGCTGCGGGTCAGGGTGGCAGCGGCGATCTTCCCAATCACCTTGCTTGTGAGGACTGTGGCATATCGTAGAGGGCAGCAGATGGCCA